ATGGCTGAGTGGCGTTCGTGCATCTTCTCAATATCCATAGTTTACTAGAGTTCTCAATTTTCTCTTCGATCCTACTTTCAACCTTGCTGTCTTTCTCCTACTGGTTCATCCAAATGGACAGCTAAAATACAGCAACCAAAACCGGCACACGTAAGTGCACAGTTAATGGTTGTACAAGCTGAAACAGGAGCTTGTCTGCACTTATTCTCCGTGGTGATCAGCTGGAAGTGTTTGAGAGCTTTTATTACCTCGGGAGTTTGATCACAGCTGGTGGTGGTGTTGGGGAGATGGCATAACGAATAGCAAAAGCTACAGCAGCTTTTGCCAACCTGCGACAACTGTGGCGCCGCCGTGACATCGGATTGTCCCTTAAGGGAGTGGTGTGCATCACCACAGTTCGTCGTGTTCTGCTTTACAGTTGGAAACCCTAGCCTCTCCGAGCGGAAGGTGTTAATCGACTTTCTGTACTCGACCACCGATGTCTCCGAAGCACTGCCCAGGTCTAGTGGGAACATCGGGTGAGCAATAACGAGGTGCGTTGTCTTGTGTGGGCTCCGAATAGTCGTTATCTAACGGAGGTAATCGCTCTACATCGCCTCTGATGGCTTCATCATGTCTTTCGTATGCTTGCCTATCGTCTACCATATATATGTAAGTCTGTGGTTGGCAGCTTTGCTGTCTCTCGATTCTGTTCCGTAACTATACCACCATCAATTTTTTAACTACTTAATAGTATGTTCTGATTACTATGCGTTTCGTCATGCCAAAATGTTCAATAAACATTTCAAGTATTGTAGAGCCAGAATAATAAATTTGGCATGATGCTGGATAAATTCAACTGAGTATCCTTGCTACTCATATTCTCAACCGGAAATTTTCGGCGTCATTTTCGCGTATATCGCGTGTGTTTGCACGATGATATGACGTTAATATATTTTAATTTCGAGATCCTTACTATGCTTAATTTGACTTATTTCAAATTTTTACCAATAAAATAAAAAAATAGCACAGAGTTTAATTAATGTACCAAATAGGACAGTGAAGTCGAAACTAAGACTACTTGATCCCTACTAAAATATACCCCGGGGATAAGCCATTCTGAATGTTAATGATCAAACTAAAGGAAATGTACTTCAGTCCAGTCTTTGCGGTCATTTTTTCTCATAATTCATTTTGAAACGCAGCAACTTCCAAATAAAAATCGATAAACGGCGAACACGGTTAATCGATTCTACGTAGTTTATGTGGCAATAGAATAAACAAATTTCAGTGCACAAACCATACCGAGAACTCGACCTGTGATTTAGGCGTATCTACGGCATCCGTGATGAAACACAACCTGTTCTAATAGGCTAAATTCTACTGTAATCTAAGTAAACATTTTGGCAACAGTAAGTGGACATAACATAAGAAACGAAGCGATCGATAAGGGATTGGGCACGTCCTTTGTGGTGCGAAACTAGTGAGTTTTGAGTCGCAAGACGTCACTGTATATTGTCATCATTCGTCTCCACACACACACACCTATCCCCTTCACTGTC